ACAGACAATAGTTGCAATCAACCCAAATGTCCATCAACAGACAACTGTATAAGGAAAATGTGATATACATACATATATATATATATATACATATATATATACACACACACACACACACACACACACACACACACACAATGGAATACTGTCCTGCCTAAAAAGAGAATGAAATTCTGCCATTCGCAGCAACATGGATAAACTTAGAGAGAATTACATTGAGTGAAATAAGCCAGTCACAGAAAGAGAAATACCACATGTCCTCACTCATAAGTGGGAATTAAAAAATAAGCAAATAAGTAAAAATGTAAGAAAGATACAACGATCACAATAATCTGTTGAACTTTCAAAAAGAGAGAACAGAACTCAAGCCAACAGAGGTGGGAAAGAGCGAGGGGGAGGAGGGTTGGTGAAAAATTGATAAAGGGCCACAAAAAATTATTACATTTTGTAATGTTGAACATACTTATTATCCTGATTTCAGCATCACATAATGCACACAGGTATTGATATTCAATGCTGTACCCCACAAATATGTATAATCAATTGTTTCAATTTAAAAAAATACAAAATAAAACAACAAAAATCCTTGCTTGATGAGAATACTATGCCAATTTGCTCAAAGTCAAAGGTTTGATTCTCCTGTAAGTCTGATGACTATATTCCTTGACCACAGATTAAGACACTAAGCTTATTTAATGAATGCTGGCTTTAACAAGGTGACTGCTGAGAAAATGTACATTGATCAGTCTGAATTCATGAATAACAGAAAAAATGAATCTAAAAATACATCCCTATTGATCATAGCTTAGTCATATACCTTAATATATAATAAATTCTAGGACTGGAAAAATACTTAAAGATGATTGGGAGCCAAATCTTTTATTTTTATGGAAAAATATAGGCTCAGAGACAGAAAGTCACTGAGTGAATAAGATCACATGATCACTTCATGGCAGAGCTATAACGCTTAGCCCACATTTTGTTTTGTTTTATATTTCCATTGCCCCACATTCATTAAATATAGAATTTTTTGTTATCTCTGAGAACTTCCTTTTTCAAATTCTATTTTTCTGTCATTATAGTTCATTATTGTAATAAGCAACTCAGTCCCAATGACAGAATATGGGGCTTTGAAGGCCTTTGAAAGGACTTTGTTATGAAAGAATGGAAAGCCACTTTAAAATACTGAGCATGTAAGGTAAAGAGTGACATTACTTGAAGTAAATTTTTAAAATATCATTTTGCCTTCCGTGTGAAGAATAAATAGCCAGGAAGAGCAAGGGTCAATTAGGAGGTTACTGCAATAGACCAGTTGAGGGGATGATGGTGATTTAAACCAGGATAGTAGCAGCAGAAGTAGTGATAAGTTCCCAATGTCTGGATATGTTTTGATGGTACACCAGCAAAAGTTCCTGATACATTGGATGTGAAGTATGAAGGAAGAGTGGGGTCGTGGAGACAAGGGCGTGTAAGTTTTCATTTAAGAAGTTCTAATTTTTTCTAGCTAAATCTCTCTTGCAGCAATCTACATGATGGTGATTTAGTCATCTTCACCTGTATAAGAACAAATCCATCACAGCAGCCAGTGTCATACGATTCATTATGAAAGGAACTAAGCAATGGCTCCTGACCTCAAAGGAGTTTATCATTTGGTAGATGAAACCTCTTTAAATGGGAGGAAAGACATACTCAACAGCATTACTAATGGAGCTACAAGTAGCAGCTTGAGGTTAAACTGGGACCATTCAGGACATGTCTGCTCAAATGAGGAAACCATGTCCACTAAATGTCCATTAGTATGATCAGCAGAGCAGCATTTAGGACGAATTCATCCACAGGAAGAGAGATGCAATCAACTGAAGAGAAGTCTAATTCTAAGTATGGCATATGATCAGTTGAATTTGTCCTCAGCTCAGCTCCCTATGGACTGATATCTTAATCTCAGGGAAGGGAGAAAGAACTGTGAAAAAAATTTTAAAAGATTGTTTTCTCCCAAATCCTCTATGATATGGGAATAAAAGCCAACACCACTTTGATAGGCCCTCATGGAAAGTAGCCCAGAAAGGCAGAGAGGCACCTTCCCTCACTTTGGCACAGAGCATGGTAGAGCTTTGGCATCTCAAGAATTTCATGCATAAGCGGCAGTACCACTAATACAGGTAGCTATGTTCTTGGAAACTCAGGTGTTTATGTGATGATAGTTCCCTGGCATGTGTCAGTAGAACCCAGCAGAGGTTGCACAGAGAAGAAGAGGAATAAAAAAAGGTAGCTATCACATAACCTCTTCATGAGCAAGCACACGTGAGACGCTCAGAAATACTAATCTGAGCTCAGCTGCATAATTAGGAGGTGAGCAAGAGCCAGAAAGACTTAAGTTGCCTTACCATTCTTTCTCAGCTTTTAAATAACAATGATGGAATGAATTTTTTACACTCCAATTACTCAATATAGCATCTCGTATGATTACATTTCATAATTTGGCAGTCTATATACCCCAAAACTCACACTTTTGCCATATATATATTTAAGATCTCCAGAACCCAGGTAGATAACCTCTTTGAAGATACTAAAGTGAAGAAATTCTGAAAAACAGATTACAGTTGTGTTGAAAATGATAACCATGAGAACTTTTTTAAAAAACAAGCACCTTCTTAAAAGCAGTCATTTTACAAAAGCAACTGAAAGGACTGAATATCTGTACACCATCTGTCCTGGTGCATATATTAAGAACATTATTTTGTGTAACACTTCAATAATGCTGCTTACATCTTTTTCACTCCCAAAAGCAATAAACTTTTAAAAATATTTCTTAAAAGCCCCAATTTCTTATGAACGTTTTAAGTGGTTTCACACAATTGCATCATGTTGAAGAAGCCAAAATGATTCTTCGTGCCATTGTGCCAATCTTTCCCAAATTCAGTAATTTTCTTAACCTTGAATTATACTTTGACCTTGGCTCCACACCTCCTCATACCTGAGGAGTATCTCTTTTTTTCTTTATTCATTTATTTGTATTTCTACCCTACCTTCTTAATAAAAGTCTTTGGAATATCTTAAGCCTCTAACTCAGATGATGGTGAGATTAGTCTTTACTACTACTGCAGTCATTACCACAAGCACAAGAACAGGAAGGAAAGGTACATTGAGGATGTTCACATCACTGCTACCCAGCTTCTGAGAGAAGAGGATCAGTGGTTGAAGTTCTTCAGTGTACAATAAAATTGTAACCTAATCAGTAAAGGGTATGGGAGGAGGCAAAGAAATTTGGAAGATGAATGTGACAAGATTGAAGATCAGTGAAGGCTTTCACTCAGGTAAACTCAGTAGATTCCTTGGAGAAATTTAGTTCTTATGTGCAATGTTAGAAGACAGCAAATTAAACAAGACATCTGTCGGGTCAAAAATTCTATGAAAAATACAATGATCCTGAAAATCTATTCCCACAAACGTGCATATGATCTCGAAAGAGAACAGAGACTTTGGAACCCACATGCCATTTCAAAAGTCACATGCTGAAATCATCACTGTTAGCCATCCCATAAGTGTGACAGGAGATTATCAGCGTTATCAAGGTCTAAAGTTCAGCTCCAGGTCTTCACTTGTATTTGATCAACTCTTTAAATTTCAAATCTTAATATGTATTTTCCATTTTTACTTCCGCCTTCCATCCATCAATATCCCATTAAGATTCCTGTGCTGAGGAGGTAGGCAGATATGAGCATCACCTTGTTATTGCCTACTGTGTTCTTGTCTGTCAGGAAGATGCCACTAGCCCCACCATCAATGAGACCCAGAGCTAATGTTCAGCTCAGCACTACACAACTCACCCACCTTGGAGTCACAAAGTACAGCTTTGTGAGAGCAAGCTAAAGTGTGGTGTGTGTGAGAGAGAGAAATCTATCAATTTACCTTCCAATGAGTGAGAACTCGCCCACGACGCCAAGGCGCCGCATGGCGCTCAGGAGTCCTCGGACAGTCATGCCTTCACAGAAGCAGACCACCACTCTGGCCTTGGGAAGCCGCTCTCGGAGCTTGCGCAAGAGTCGGTCAAAGCTCTTCTCCCCAGCATTGCTGTAGATTTTGTCTGAGTGGGCAATGCAGAGGCCTTCCTGGGCAGCCAGCTCTTTGAAAGCGTCCATTCCACTCTCCCCATAATTCCCTGTCCAGAAACAATCAGAAGATGAACGTTCAAGACAACCGTGGCAGCAACAACACTTACAAATTGGAATAAGAACTCATTAGTCACAGCGAATGGTGAGGACAGACTCACCAATTAATTTGTAAACATAACTGGCACTGAAGGAAGATCTGGATGATTCAAAGCAAGTAATCAAAGGTAATTAGACAACTCTGTGGAAGTAATGAAAAGCTATCTGAGCTAGGGCATCCAAAATGAAACAAGTTTTGTCAAATGAAAGACTGCTGCCCTACTTTACAAACATGATTAATAGTGGTTGTCCCAGATTTTAACCACATAGGGAGATCAGCACACTGGAGTAGGGAGGTCAACAGGCACAATGAGAAGCCTGTTCATTTGAGGGCTTGCTCCAGCTGGCTGCCAGGTGAAGACGCAGCTACTCACAGGTGACACAAAGCCTGCAACATTTCCATGAAGAGTGAGTAAGCAAAGAAAATAGAACTTCTGGCCAGATCAGAGATCAGCAGACCAGAAAGAGCTACAGGGCTTAGTCAAAATACATCATCCTCTGATGAACTGATAGGATTGTGGGAGATTTGTGCCTTATATTTTGATTTTGATTTTATATCATTCTTATGATAAAATACACTTTTAAAAACTAACTCATAGCAATCAATGAGATAAAGCTAATATCACTCTTTACCAATTTCCCATCCCTCTATTTCACTGATGACTTTAGCTCCCACCTTAGTAGCCTCTATGTCCCTACTCCTCTCCCCAAGTTTAGGGATTTTGATACCCATGTGGATAATACATCCAATACCACGTCCTTGCAGTTTCTCACTCTCCTGCCTCCATTGATATTTGCTGTAACCCACACACTCCATGGTCACACTTTTGACCTTGTTATCACAGATGTTTCTAATATCTCTGAACGTGGATGTCAAATGCCTGAGTCTCTGTTTACCTTCTCTTATCTTTCAAACTCATATACTCTACTACCTCTACTGCAGTGTTTCTGCAACTTCATAAAAACTTCAAATCCATTAACCTCCCTATTTTTTCTTCCACCCTCCCTCTCATTTCCCTCTTAGCCTGGCTTAGATCTCATAGCCTAACCTCAAAATCACTCCCCTGCAAATTCCTTAACTCTTTTGTGTCTTCCTGGCAACCTCTAGCACTAGCTGAACCCAAAATATCTCTACACCTGAGCACCTAAACATGGCTGAAAAAAAACTCACAATCTTGCTAACTGGTTTTACTTAAAACTTATGAGCATACATACCAAAAGGGAATACTCAATAGTGCAAGGAAATTATGCTACATCACTCCTGTAAGTAAATTTTCTTAGTTTCTTACATGATCATTTCATCCTTCAGATCTTCAAACTACTGACCCCACTGCCACTCCCGATCATACTCAATAGTGCAAGGAAATTATGCTACATCACTCCTGTAAGTAAATTTTCTTAGTCTCTTACATGATCATTTCATCCTTCAGATCTTCAAACTACTGACCCCACTGCCACTCCCGATCTCAGCTGGGATCCTCATTTCATATTTCAGTAAGAACACAGAAACAGACAAAAACAAACTCAGTTACCCACTACAACATCTATGAACCTTTCTTCATTGGCACTCATATTATCTGTCATTGCTCCTGCTGCAAACTTGAAATGTGTCTGGTTCAGAATAGAGCCAACCCCTGTTCACGGACACAAGATCTCACCTCTTTTTGTCTATTCAAGGACTCTCTCCTGCAATTGTTCCCTCTCTCTTGATTATCAAGTTCTCCCTCTTAATGGTGTCAACCAAAAAGAAAAATATCCCTGGACTCATTGTCCCACTTGAGTTACTATCTCATTCACTGCTCCCGTTCATAGCAATAATAGTTGCCTAGGACAATGTATTTGCTTCTTCATCTCCCATTCTCTCCTTTTTAGTATTTTTTCTCTTTTTTAAAAATTTGAGGTATAATTGATATACAAAAAATGTACGCACTTAATGTATACATCTTGATGAGTTTAGACATATGCATACCCATCATCTCAGAATCTTCTTTTCTTAAAACCTTGACTTGTCAAGGTCACCAATGACCTCTCTGTTGCTATATCCTATAAATGGTTCTCTGTGTTCATCTTCATCAACCACTTAGCTGCACTCAACAGTTGACCATACTCTTCTTGAAACACTTTATTCTTTTGATTTCTGTGGAACAACCGTCTCCTGGTTTCCTCACTACTCACTGACCATGCCTCAGTGTATTTACTAGATTTTCCTTCTCTGCTCAACCTCTAAATATTGTCATGCCAAGACTCAGTCTTGGGAAACTTTCTCTTCTTCATTTATGCACTTACCCTAAGTGTCTGCATTCAGTCACAGGTGTTCAAATACCATTTGAATACCACAGTTGAATCCCAAATACAAATCTTTGTACTGAACTGACCCTTGGAGCAAAAGACTAATATATTCAATTGCCTACATGACATATCTATTTACATGCATCTCAAACTTAACATATGTTAAATAGAATGTTTTCCTTCTCCATGTTGCAAATCTCCTTCCAGACATCTCCTATTAGTAAATAGTGCCTTTACCCACCAAGTTGCTCAATAATAAAATTTAGGAACTATTTGATTACTTGTTCTCACATTCCAGATCCATTCCTATAGACCCTATCTCTAGAACATCCTCAATCCATTCACTCTCTTCTATTTCAACCTCTGCCACCTTAAGCCATATCTTAGGTCAGGTTTTCTAAAAACAGAGCCTAAGATGAAAATTCTTATTCAAGTAATTTACTGAGAAGAAGAGAAGGAGAAGCAGAGAAAGACAGGAGGGGAGAGCTAAGCACAAATGTCATCTCATCTAAAGATTAGCTTCAGGCTGATTGCACAAGGAAGTGCTAGAATGCATTATACTACAGAGTTAGTTCCACCTTTGGGCAAGGGGGCCCCAATGTCATTCAATCCTTGGTTAAGTCTCACAAGGAAAGGAAGTATAGCCTTCCAGGAAGGGGACAGCTGGGATTTATAGTAGCTGGGAGATTGGTGCACCAAGGAGGTAAAGGGAATCTGGGTGGGCCAACAACAGCATCCTCTATACCAAGTAACTATCAGTTCTTACCTAGACAACTGCTCTAGCCTCCTCATTGGTTGCCTTGCTTTCACTCTTGTTCCCAATGATTCATTACACACCTAGCAACCAAAGTGATCTATTAAGGTATAAATCAGATTATGCCACTTCTTTACAGAAAGCTCCAATTGCTTCCCAATATACATGGAATGAAACTAAAATTGCTTCCCCTGGGCTACTAGGCTGAGCCTTCCAACTTCTTCAGTCCCATCTCTCACCACTACCCCTCCCTCACCTTCTCCAGTCCCATGGCCGTCTTTCTCTTCCTGGAATACTCCAAACTTACCCATGTCTCTGTGTTAGCAGTTTCCACCACATGAAAAGATGTCTTTCTACCAGATGTTCTTGTCTGTAATATCTCAACATAAACATCACCTCCTCTAATTATTGCCTCCTCTGAAAAGCCTTTTCTGATCAGTTAGCTTAAAGTAGCTTGCCAGTAAACCCTGATCACATCTCTTGCTATTATCTCAATACATATATCTGATCTTTTTCCTACTTTCTTTTTAATTTTTATTATTTATTATTAGCATATTCATAATTCCAAATCATGATTTTTCTTTATGCCATTTACCCAACCTATCGCTCCCCAACATTCTCCCTCCCTGCCCGCCATCTCTGATATTCCTTAGGTTTGTTCTTTCCTTCTAAGTTCAAGGTATTGTTGTGGTCCTTCCTTCCTTCCTTCTTTCCTACATTCCTTTCTTCCTTCCTTCCATTCTTTCTTTCATTCTTCTATCCTAACACCCAGTTATGAGTGAGAACATGTGATATTTCTCTTTCCTTCTCTGGCTTATTTCACTTAACATAATTTCTCCAGACTCATCCATGTTGCTGCAAATGGCAGAATTTCATTCTTCTTTGTGATTGAATAGTATTCCACTGTGTGTACATAACACATTTTCCTTATCCAATCATCTGTCATTGGTCATTTAAGTTGGTTCCATAATTTGGTCATTCTAAACAAAGCTGCAGTGAGCATAGGAGTGCAGGTTTCCCTTCGACATGATGATTTCCATTCCTTTGGATATATACCCAATAGAGAGATTGCTGGATCATATGGTAATAGTTCTACTACTTGTAGTTGTTGGAGGAATCTCCAAGCATAGGAGTGCAGGTTTCCCTTCGACATGATGATTTCCATTCCTTTGGATATATACCCAGTAGAGAGATTGCTGGATCATATGGTAATAGTTCTACTACTTGTAGTTGTTGGAGGAATCTCCATACTGTTTTCCATAATGGCTGTGATAATTTACAGTCCTACAAACAGTGTAGGAGGATTCCCCAAACCCCATATCTTCACCAGTATTGTTACTCTCAGTCTTTGTAATAATGGCCAGTCTAACTGGGGTGAGATGATATTGCAATGTGGTTTTGATTTCCATTTCCCTGATGACTAGTGATGCTGGGCATTTTTTCATGTTCCTGTTGGACATTTGTATGTCTTCCTTTGAAAAGTGTCTAGTCATCCCCTTTGCCCATTTTTTAATGGATTATTGGGGTTTCTTGCTTTATAGTTGTTTGAGTTCTTTGTATATTCTGGATATTAATCCCTTTTTGGATGCATAGTTTAAAAATATTTTTCCCATTCCATGGGTTGTCTCTCCACTCTGTTGATTGCTTCCTTTGATGTGCAGAAATTTTTAGTTAGATATAATCCCTTTTGTTTATTTTTTCTTTTGTTGCTTGTGCTATTGGTGTCTTACTCATAAAGTCTTTGCCCAGGTTTACTTCCTAGAGTGTTTCCCTTATGTTTTCCTTAAGTAATTTTGTGGTTTGGAGTCTTATATTTCATTATTTAATCCATTTTGAATTGATATTGGTATAGGGTGAGAGGTATAGGTCCAATTTCATACTTCCACTTATGGATGTACAA